GAGCTGATGACCTTTCATCGGTTTCGCCCCCGGCCCCAACCCCGTCTGGGCTTCTCCAAGCGCCCCCCAAGACTCTCCTCGAGACGATACCATACCAGGGACTTTTTTTTTTTCTTTTTTTTTTTTGGAGACCGGTCCTCGGACCAAGCTTGCTAGACACATTTTCTGTCGCGCGCGAACGACCTCATCTTTTTTCCCTTTTTTCTATCCGTCATCGGTGTGTGATTTGAAATTCTTTTGGACTGGAGCGAATTGGCCACTTAGCGTCTTCTTAATCATCCTTACATCTACCCCGTGGAGAAGCGATCTACCCGTTACCCCGGATTTTCTTCTCAATCACAACATTCCCATTCGCCCGAGAGCAGACATCGCGAAAATGGGACTGAACGGCGACGAGATTGCAAAGCACAACAGTGCCGACTCCTGTTGGGTCATTGTTCATGTAGGTTGCGTCTGCTCAGACAGAACGCTGTCAATTGACGCGCAAACAGGGCAAAGCCTACGATGTAACGGACTTCTTGCCGGGTGAGTACCCCCCCAACACCGTAGAAACACTTCTGACGATGCCAGAACACCCCGGCGGCTCCAAGATCATTCTCAAGTATGCCGGCAAGGACGCGACGGAAGAGTTCGACCCCATCCACCCGCCAGACACGCTGGACAAGTACCTCGAGCAGTCCAAGCACCTGGGCCCCGTCGACATGACATCCGTGGTGGCGGAAGAGAAGGAGGAGGACCCCGAGGAGGCGGAGCGCCTCGAGAGGGTCGAGCAGAAGCCGCTGCTGTCTCAGTGCTACAACCTGATGGACTTTGAGGCCGTCGCGCGCAGGATCATGAAGAAGACGGCGTGGGGGTACTACTCGAGCGCCGCCGATGATGAGATTGTGAGCAGCCCGTCGCATTTCACCAACTGGTACTGACCGACAGACCCTCCGAGAAAACCACAGTGCCTTCCACCGCATTTGGTTCCGCCCACAGATCCTCGTCGACGTCGAAAAAGTCGACTTCAGCACCACAATGTTCGGCGCAAAGGTCGACATGCCCTTCTACGTCACCGCGACCGCCCTCGGCAAGCTGGGCCACCCCGAGGGCGAGGTCCTCCTCACGCGCGCCGCCCGCAAGCACAACGTCATTCAGATGATCCCGACGCTGGCCTCGTGCGCCTTTGACGAGATGATGGACGCCGCCGAGGGCGACCAGGTGCAGTGGCTGCAGCTGTACGTTAACAAGGACCGCGAAATCACGAAGAAGATTGTCGAGCACGCCGAGAAGCGCGGCTGCAAGGGCCTCTTCATCACCGTCGACGCCCCGCAGCTCGGCCGCCGCGAGAAGGACATGCGCTCCAAGTTCACCGACCCCGGCGCCAACGTCCAGTCAGGCCAGGCCACCGACCAGTCCCAGGGTGCCGCCCGCGCCATCTCGTCCTTCATCGACCCCGCCCTCTCGTGGAAGGACATTCCCTGGTTCAAGTCTATCACCAACATGCCCATCATCCTGAAGGGCGTCCAGCGCGTTGAGGACGTCATCAAGGCGATCGAGGCCGGCGTCCAGGGCGTCGTCCTGTCCAACCACGGCGGTCGCCAGCTCGACTTTGCGCGGTCCGGCGTCGAGGTGCTGGCCGAGACGATGCCGGTGCTGAGACGCATGGGTCTCGAGAACGCCATTGAGATTTACATTGACGGTGGCGTCCGTCGCGCTACCGACATCATCAAGGCGCTCTGCCTCGGTGCCAAGGGCGTCGGCATCGGCAGGCCGTTCCTCTACGCCATGGCCGGCTACGGGTTCGAGGGCGTCGACCGCGCCATGCAGCTGCTTCGCGACGAGATGGAAATGAACATGCGTCTCATCGGCTGCACGAGCGTCGACCAGCTCAACCCCTCGCTTCTTGACACGCGCAGTCTCTTCAACCACGGGTCGACGCCGTCGGATAACCTCGGTCTGGCCATCTATGACCCGCTTGCGACGCCCACGCAGAGGCCCAAGCTGCCGAAGCCTTCGAAGCTGTAGACCTTTTGCGGTGTTTTTCTTGTCACCATCGTTTAGAGCAAGCATGGAATGTTTCAAGACTTGATCTAACGTCAGATGTATGATACTATACACTATACAGGGCGCTATATACCGCAAAGACATTTGAATTGCAGAAGACACTGTTCGCTGAGCAGCCATGGGGTTTTCCAACCCCAGTGATAAGATGAATGACCGGTGGCAGTTTGAATCAATTGCCGATTTGCCCTGGTATCTCAACCAGTCGACCGGGTGAGACTGACTCTGCCTACACTACAGCTGTCTCACGGTGCCTATCCCGGCGTATCGCGACTTTATTATACTACACTCTTACATTCACACAAATTCTATAGTACGAGAAGCGGAAAAGAACAAAAGTGTATTTGCCTACATGCGTCTTCTGTGCAACATGCCAACCTGCGGAAACCGAGAGGCCAAGTCTTCAAGCGACCGATTGCCGACGGCCTCCTTGAGTGCGATCGTGGAGATGGCCGTTGGCAAATGAATGGCGCCATACACTCCGTTGTCAGCCCACTTGAGATGGTGGTAGACAAGGTAGAACTTCTTGCCATAGTCTTCTGGCTCGAGAATCCAATTCCAGGCTGGCTTCGGCTTGCGACTGTCCACGGTGACATGAGAGTCGGCCGCGACGCAGCGGTAGTCAAAGGCCCCGTTTTCACGCTCCTGCGTGAAGAACGCGAGATGGGGCAGACAAGATCTTGCCAGGATGACCTCGATGTGGTGCACCTTTTCGGCACTGAGAGCAGGCAACCCTTCAAAGGCGGTTTGAGTCTGCATGTTCAATGTCTTCTCGATAGCGAGAACAAGTCCGTAGACTTCTTCGGCCAGCCCCGGGTTGATCTCCACGACATCGTTGACAGGGACGGCTGTAAAGAGACGGTTGACTCCGTGGTTGGACGACATAAAGTCTACCATCTTCACCCGGTAAGTGTCCCAGATGCCTAGCATCTGCCACAAGGCTCCGAACGGGAACAACTCCTTGGTGATGCCGCCGCAGACGTCAAGGATCAAGGGCAAGCTCTCGTCTTTGAACGATGCGGCCGGGCCTTTGAATTTGATCAATGGGGGACTCGTTTCGTCCGCGGTCCAAGACATTGCGACATCCATGATGGCGGCCAGACGGATGAGCACTCTGGTCTCGTCCTCGTCCAGTGTGCCGTTCTCGAAGCCGTGGAAAGTCTGAGCGAGCATGGCTGCAGAGAATAAGTCGACGTTGAGTTCGGCATCGCCACCTACAAGGCAGTCAGCAATCTTTTCGGGCCAGCCCTCCTTCACCTTGTAGGCATCCGGCGTATTTCCCTCCTCGAGGATATCCATCAACGTGAGCATTTGGTGCACGTGGTCGAGCACGTCGTATTGGTAGGGCATCTCGATCGCAACATCCTCCATGGCCACGTCAGAGCACATGTTGGCAAAAGTGTAAAGGAATTCGAAAGGCGTCTGGTCCTCGGACGCCGGTTCGGGTCTCCAGGGTCGCGTCTTGAGCGCCGTGGAAAGGTCAAAGTCGCCATAAATGACCGCTCGCGGGTCTGTTGTCTTGCGGAGGTAGCCGATCTGATGGTACAGTTCCATGCGCGAGAGCCCGACCATATCTTTCATCGTCTGGCAATGGTCATCATCGAAATAGAACCTCCACGCCCGATCAGTAGCGATGATGTATCTGAGGTTGGGCAGGTCCACGCTGCATGTCGTCAGGCCCGGAGTCAGGTCTGACATCACGAACATGGACGTTTTCTGTGGGATTGATCGACATTGGCGTTGAAGGCTTCTGAGAGCTGCAGGCGAGTTAAGGTAGCACACTTGCCAGCCGGCTTCGTGCGCCGTGACTATGGCCTCGACGGCGACTCTGACCGGGAGAAAGGACAGGATCGTGATCACCTCACTTTCACTAGCAGCCTTAATCACGAGCTCGACGGTGGCCTTTGAAATGTCGGTTCCGGCCTCAAATCTCTCAAAGGGGAGACTGAGCTTAGCCTCGGCCTCTTCGCAAGCGGCCGAGTTGTATCCCAGGTCGGTGGATGCAAAGGCCAGCCTTCCGAGAGCTTGGCCTTTGTGCATTCCGAACGAGGACATCACCACGAGGGTGCAAGCCCAGCCCTTGGTCTTCTCGAAAAAGTGGTGGTAGATGTGGTCGCGAATGACGAGCTGGCCGAAGTCTGAGTACAGGGTGCGCTGGCCATCAAGCTTAACAATGATGGTTGTGCCTGCTTCGTCCATAGCCTCGAGGAACTGTTCGCTGTCATTTGTGAAGATGTCTTCCCATGTGATTACAAAGCCAGCAACCGACTTTTCCTCTGCACTCAGCCAGACAAACTTCCTCTCTAGGAGACTAGGCACGATGAAGATGGGTCTTTTCCCGACTGTCTCAGTGGCGACGCTTGCGGCTCTTGCAATTCGTCGCATCTTGCCGGAGGCGGGCGGTCCCGTGACCTTGAAATAAGAGAAGCCGTCGTTCTTCTCGATGGCTGCGACGATGGGCGTAATGGTGTTGTTCCAGTCCGTCGCATGGTATCGACCGGAAGGCTGGTTGTGCCCTGCATTAGAACCCATCGCTGCTATCGTCTGCGGTTGTTGTCGTCGTCCGTTGTCGCTGTCGCGTTCTTGTGACTTTTGCGAAATGGGTGGCTTTGACGAGACAGTTGTATTTCGTGAGTTGGCGGCGGCGGAGGTAAGTAGGCAGCGGCCAACGGAAGCGTTGACGCTCCTTTTTTTTTGTTTTTCTTGCGGGGGCCTGGGGCGAGCGTCTTCACTTAGGTCTTTGGATATCAGACTGCGAGTGAAGAGGAAGGAAGGTCCTGGGGCGAGGTGAATGGCAGGCCCGGCTTCGTTCTACCTTCCTCAGAACACAACGTTTTCCGATACGGCTCACCTCTTAGACACGCATCTGCCCACAACACGGAGGAAAGAGAACCACAGCAAAGAAAAAACACTTCAAAAACAAACCCCATTGTCGCCAAAGAACAACAACATCAGCGATGGATGGTCTACTCGAGAAGATCAAGGCCTTGCCTGACTTGCGCAAGCTGGATGATACGACCATGCTTGAGAGGTTGACGACCGAATGGCCACACTCACTCAAGGAGAAGATGGTCAATGGGGCATTTGGCACTACGACCCGTGGTCTGGACGTCCTGCTCGTCTTCGTGAGATACCTGGTCGTGATACTCCCATCTGGCCCCGACATCGATACGGGTTCGAATCCCATTTGGGAACTGGCCTGGAAAGATCTCCAAAGCGCCGAATACAAGGACAACGCGTCAGTCCTCAAGCAGGAGATCATTAACGCCGTCAGCAAGGACAACACCTCGTTCTTCTCACTTTGCGAGTCTCAAATTATGCGCGAGACTCTGTGGAGCCTCAAGGAACTCCTTCTCTGCGGGAACCCCGAATACCTTGAAAACGGGTGCAAGGACTGGGAGAAGATTGACCCACCCTACGCGGCTTTCCTCGCAGAGATGAGCTTGGTGAGCTGGGACGGCAAGTCGGAGGGGTTGTACATGGCCGTGAAACAGGTGTTTTGCGAGAGATACCGCTCCGACGGTGACGCATGTCGCCTCACTATGCCGAAGCCCGCCCCCATGATCATTCGCGTCCACCTCAAGCCGTCCGCTGGATCCAATCTGAAAGAAAAAGATCTCCTTCGGTTCCATGGCGGCGAAGGCGCCGATTACAAACTGCTGGCTGCAGTCCGATTAGGGACCGACGGCGCAAAGTCGGGAGATACGATCCAGCTGTACGCATCCAATGGCATTGATATCTTGCCCACGCAATTCAACGCCAGCCGCTCAAGGCGCCCCGAAATGCTTGGGGAAGAAGGTCATGAGTATATGCTGTTCTACTGTAGCTATAGAACAGGGATTCGCATCAAGGACCGTTTCGCCTGCGAGAAGAACATGTACGTGGACATTGACGAAAATATGACGAAGGAGCGGTTTCACGCCAAACCTGAAAAACCTGCGAAGCCTTCCACTGAAGAGGACTCTTCGACCACGCGCCCCAGAACCCGCATCAAGGCCATACTGGATGCTCTCCAAGGCAATGCCGCCACGGGCGACACAGGCTCCGAGGCTGAAGAGGGCGGCCCTGGCGACGAGGCAGGTCCTACCGGCCCGAGTGGATTTGGAGACCATGATAAAGGTTACGATGGTCACTGATGACGTTCACTGCGGAAATTTTGGCGGGTAAGAGAAGCGCTCTTGATCATCGCCACGAGCCAATGCCATTCCAGTGTGACGTCCTAAATCAGGCAACACGCACCGCCTACAGGATAGGATCAGCAGAAAGAGACTACTTAGCATACGATTTGAATCGTGGTTCGATGCAACACTTGAATCTTCTTAATGTAAATGGTGCTATGCATAGTAAGTACATGGTAGTGAAAAAATGTAATCGAGCAACCCAACCACACAAGTAGTCCAAAAATCACAGCAGCGCAAATAGGCATGCGAAAAATCATAAACAAAGAACGAACAAACATCGAGATAGAATAGTCTCTATTCATTGATAGTCCCTTTTGCACTTCACATCCTTGTCATCCACCATCGTCCGTCATTGTCTCATATGTATCCCCCCTGATTCCATGACGCCCTATCGTGGGCCTAGATTCATAGACTTGGTGTTTTGAGGCGTTCCTAGATCTAGTGACACGTTCTCGTCTTATTACACCGTCTTGCGTCGTTCAAATCCTCTACGGACAAGCCCAGACCTTATACAAGTCCACATGCAGCTCACAGTAGCTATGAGCTGAAGCTTCTTGCAGGGTCGTGAGTTTCATCTTCATATGTTGCTCATCGATGTTATCCCCCATCGTCGTCTACTGCTGTTTATGGATTACAAGCCCTGCTGCCCTGACTCCTTGTCTGAGGCGTTCCTGAAAGCAGACTTAATCACATTACTCATTTCATCGCATCCTTGACAACCAGACCCGTGGACCTGGTGACACATCTTGCTACATTCAACACTTTAGAGACGAGCCCAGACTTATATATAGATCCATAACAGCTTCTGAAGCTTCTCTGTTACTCTTTGCCACCATACTGCTGCCGTCGTCCCCTATATCGTCCGCTATCCCTTCAGTATTACCCATGCCTCTGACGCCTTATCTTCTCACCCCACATCCTAAAGCAGAAAGTGAATGAAAGCATAAGTCTGCCTGCATCCAGCTCTAGATTTCCTGTCAGCCTCTCATCCTCGGTATGGCACTACTGCTGTCATCCCTCTCATTGTCTGCTACCATCTCTCCTGCATCGCCCTTCTTCTTATCCGCGACAGTCTTAGCTAGTTCATGCCCTCAATGAGTTACCCGTCCTACCTTCTCCCGCGTGGTTCGGACGATATTCTGTTGTTTCGTTAACCTCTCTTTAAGTTCTTTTACCTATAATAATTCCTCCTACCACAGTTATAAAAGGGCTAGTAGAGCAAGCAGTCTTCTCAAACTCAGTATTAGCAGGTTAGCTTTCTCACTAGATATTAATAGGTCCATATTACAGATCCGTATTACAGGTCCGTATTATAGGTCCGTATTCCCACGTCCGTATTCCCACGTCCGCATTTCAACGTCCGCATTTCAACGTCCGCATTTCAACGTCCGCATTTCAACGTCCGCATTTCAACGTCCGCATTTCACATCCACCTTCTTAATCTGTATCCACATTCCACGTTCTCAATCTGCTTCACACCTTTACTACACACTTTCACTATGCAATCTTCTCATATATAACACACCTCCAATCTAAGTCACTACATCACTACACTATTACATCACAAAGCTACAATAAGAAGTCGCCAACCAATATAAATACACTGCAATATCTGGAATGAAACGAGAAATAGAGAGTAATTAGAGAGAGACCATATAAACTGTCTTTGCTGCTGGCAGCCTAGATGTCGGTGATAGAGACCTTTTATGACCAGAAGGCTGGCCGGCTACTATCGCAGGAGCCGCGCCCTCTTCAGGCTTGGAAGGCTCCGCGATTTTCGCGGGAGCCAGACTGACCACTGCTGCGGCTCCTGTGACATCTGCAGCAGGCAGTTGAGGAGTGGTCTCATGGACGCAGATATTCTGAGAAAGGCGTGTCGTTGTGCCCGCAAGGATCAGATCAAGGATTGGAGCGCGAGGAACTACGCAGAGCTTCATTTGCGATGGGACATGGTGACCGAGTATGCCGTGGAGGTAACCGACGGTGTCGTGACGTGAGAAGTACGGCTCAAGTGGAAATAGCTGTCTCTTCAAAGTAGATAGATGGCAAGGAAACCGACTTGAATCTGCTTTGCTTAAAGTGGTTCGAAGAGATACATCAGTGATGATTGAGTGTTTCTTGCATTTATTCGGAGAGTGTCAAAGGCTCCAAGTGAATGGCGCAGCTAGGATCGACACAGAGATTGCTTTCGAATCACAACGAGACCTGTTGGAACTGCTTCGAATTGTCAAGTAGACTAACGTTTCCCGGCGAATGACCGCAACTCGCAGGCGAAATATGAGTAGAAGCCCGCCGCAGGAAGTCTTATTTGCCGGGGACCGGGAGGGGTGTCGTCAGGGAGGCGGCAGAGCCTCCGCCCCGGCGATCGGAGTTTTGCTTTGCCTTGTCCCGTTACATCCGGCCCCGTCCAAGCGGTGACGTCAGATCGCACAAGTCGCATTGTGCATGGGAAATTCGTTCAGGAGAACAAGACGGGATACGAAGCTTCTGTGCACGAACACCCGCTGCACAGCCCATGGGGCCGGTGGGCAGATCATAAGATGTGCATAGTTATCCATCGCGTGAGCGACTCAGCTCCCGCAGACGAACATGAATGCGAGTCATACGCGCGGCGCCAACAATAAAAAAGACATTACGGTTCGGAAAAAGGGGAACGGGGGCAGCTCCACGATGGCCTTGGCCGCCCAACTTTGTTTGGTTTAGCGGCATCTCAAACGGGCAGGGGAGCGCAGGCCAAGCCCAAAAAGATCGACACACTGTATTCCTTGTTTCATAATCCGGTAGACGGGTGACCCCTGCCATCGAGGCTCCGAGATCTCTGGAAACTTTTTTGAGTTGGCGCCCTGGGAGATTTTTATCCCACATCACCTACGGATATCCCACATTTTCGGATGCTATTTTCGTTGCACAACTCCCAGCGATGAGGTCTGCGCTCAACCATGTTCCGACGCAGATTACCGGTGTTTTGAACCCGTAGGGCTGGCAGCATTTCTGCCTGTTGGGTCTGGCCATTGGAAGGCAGTTGGCCGGCGCCTCTCGTCGTATTTCTCATCGATCGTCGAAGCTATCGTGATACGAAGACGCGGTGTCGAACCAAGTGGTCCGGAGGCGTGCGGCGGTCTGTGTACGACATTGAGAGTTTGTCCTGCATGCGACAGAGGATTTTGTGCACGATGGCCTCAACCTGTGGTCGCCGGGCAATTACTCGGTCTTCTCCGTTCACCTTAATTCCTTGGCCGTGGGGAGGAATCACGCCCTCGCGGAGCAGGGGTGATGGCAGCGCGAGGTGAACGTCGACGGTGAGGCTATTGGGATGATGCTGACAGCGGCAGGTTTACGTCAGCCGAACTTCCGGTACATCAGACGACGGGAACGGACGGGAACTCTAATTGACAGCTTTTACAGCAGCGAAGCTTGTCTCGCATGAAGTTCAGACGAATTTTTTCCTACAGAGTCTTGCTCGATGGCCGTGCCGGCGATCAGTCATGCGACCCAACCGCAAGAGCCCCAGAGCAACGACGGAAACGGGGCAAACTGCGGGCCCCATGGCAGGGAAGGCCAAGGGGAAGGCGTCCAAACCTTCGATGGACGATGGCCGCCGACGTCTCTTCAGAGGTGGCCGGGCGGGCGTTTAAGCACTCCACAGGTTGCGGTGCTTTCACACGTTCGGATCCCACATCACGGCAACCTTGGCTTGGACCTCCGCCCGCCCAACACTTAGCGCGCCAGGACTCTGTTTCCACCTTATCCCTTCTCGTATGGAGAGCCTCCTGCTCGCGTTCGGTTCCTATTCGCCAGCGCCCTCTCGGCCTCGACGATGTCGTCGGTTCCCCTGGCAGACTCTATCGGGCCACACCGTACCTGCGGGATGGCGCAGCCCAGCGGGGGGCTCCCAGGTTTCCACTCCTCGATGGACCTGTGTCTCCTGGAGGGAGGACCGCAGCGCTTGGCATCGACTGAGCGTATATACAAAATGAACAAGTTTCTCCCTCCTCTTGTTTGTTTGGGACCCTCTCTTCAACGTCGCTCTCGCGGATCACCAAGAGTTGCCTTTCGTTCTTTTCCTTTAGTCTTTTCAGTGCGTTGTCCTAATAACAGATACGGTCCTTCTTTCATACGTATCTGATAATCACACTCACTCCACATACACTCACTCAACACTTACTACACTCATTCGACACAACATGGTTCGCTCAAACACTTACACGGCACTCGCTGCCGCCACACTCTTTTCACAACTGTCCTCCGCCGCCATCACCAAGTGCCCCAACGAGGAGGCCGTCTGGGAGACCCCCATCGGCGTCAAGTACACCGTCTGCCCCGGCTCCGACTACCAGTATGGCGGCAACAGCCTCCAGGTCGTCAAGGATGTGGCCTCGACCAAGGACTGCGTCCAGATCTGTGATACGGATGCCCGCTGCTACCGTGCCGTCTACGACACGGAGGACAAGCTCTGCCACGTCAAGGACAACAAGAATAACATGAACTGGGCCGCCGACGGCCGCTTCGTCTCCATCCGCATGACCAACGACCTGCCCGAGGGTTCCTTCCTCGCCACCTGCCCTTTTGACGAGGAGTCGTACAAGGTCCCCAACACCGACAAGGAGTTCCGCGTCTGCCTCAACACCGACTACACCGGCACCAGCGTCAAGATGGTCAAGGACGTCACCACCGTCCAGGCCTGTGCCGAGCTCTGCTCCAACACCAAGGACTGCACCAAGTCCGTCCACGACAACATCAACAACGTCTGCCATATCAAGGGCGCCGAGCCCGCCAACTCGCTCTTCTGGGTCCAGGACAAGCAGTTCACCACCATCCACGTCCCCGAGACCTACAACCCTGCCGTCGAGGGCAAGTGGGGAGATCTCATCCGTCTGCCTGTCATCCCCGTCGCGGCCTACATCGTCCCCGCCTACCCCCAGCCTGACAGGCTGCTCTTCTTTTCCTCCTGGGGC